GGGGGGGGGGGGGGAAGCTCTGGCATTCCATTCTTTACTCTGTACACACACACTCACATCCAAACACGCAACAACACCACAACAGACGATATGCACCTCAAACACAACACATTACTTCTCACCACAGTATCAATAGATTATTTAGAGGAAATGTCCTTAGAAATTAAAAGCATGACTTTTGCAGTAACCAAAGTTGAAGTTTAAAAAAAAAAAAGTGCCCTCATATATTTATTATTATGTGTGGCATGTCTTTGCTGCCATGTCCATCATCTTCGTACTTAAAGAGAACAGAAGTATACAGGCATATGCCACATTCTCTGAATTTACAATAGTATGGTTAAATGCTTTGGATAAATCAAGAAGGATCAAAACACTACAGAGGTGGAAAGGTAAAAAAAAAGCCCTCTCTATGTTCAGTCCGCAGGCTCTCGTTTCTGTCGCTCTACCAACAAGAATACAACCAAGAGAGCACATACATTTCAGTGCATATCAGTTACATTGTGCAAACCACTGATACGGTCATCACAAACACACGCACATTTAGCGAGTAGTTTCCATACTGAAAACATACATTTATACATAATCACTATGTATAGGTTTTGATATAGAGCTACAAAATATATATATATTCAGCTAAGCGTACGAGCCCATAGACAAAGAATGATGACCGAGTAGAGAGAGAGTGGATGAGATGATATTACAGAGCTATCAGTGCTGCGGCAGTGAACGGTCTGACTATGACACTGACTCGTGCTGAACATGTTCACACTGTGGTGCCGGCGACGAGGCAATGACAAAACCCAGTGCGACATAAAGTACATTCATGATAAAAGTAAGCGCACAAAAACACTTTTTTAAATTTGCACCCCTTAGACACAAAAGAACCGAAAAAAAAAGACTCACAACAAACTCTTTGCAAATTAAAGTCATTCTCTGATTGCCGCAGACTGCAGCAATACTGAGGGCAAATTTAAAACCTGTAGTGCATAGCTTTCTACTAGATCTAAACTGACAAAACTGAAAAAGTGGAAGATTACCCTCTACACTGAGAAATCACGCTGCAATGTACAGATCAGTCGTAATGGTGGATTTGAGCCGCAGTGTGTCAGCCGATGTAAATGCAAAGGTAACACTGTTACAGGTGAAAGCTTGCGGACGAATGCAGTGCACTGCACGGCCACGCGGACGTGTCTTGCTATTGCACAGGTGGTTTCACACACGACTTGTGTGTATAGATGTACTTTATAGAACTATATACTGTAGACACAGGCACATGTTTGCTGCCATAAATAAAAATAAAAGAACGATTCATATTAAAATAAATGTTAATATCAGGGGACAAGCAAACATCTCTGTGGTTGGAAGTTAGAACACACGTTTAGGCTCATACTTCTCATGTTTCTGCTTGAGATATAAATCCTTTCCTTTTATTCAGAAGGGGATTGGTCTATACTTCTTAAATACTGTTTCTTTTGTACAATACACACACACACATACACATTTATCATAGATATATACATATCTGGATATGCCCTTTACATATTAAGAATGAGCCTATCTTTCTGTCGACTCCCTAGAGAAGAAGCAGTCGTCACCGGGTCCCTATGGGAGCTTTGGGTTACTGGTTACCGTTCTAGTTGGAATGGGAGGAGGGAGGGTTGGGAATACTGAAGGGGCGGAGGATAACCAGTCAGGCTCTGAGTCAAACACGGAGCGAGAAGGCAGAGTCTGAGTCTGGGACACCAGGGCACTGGGAGGGAAGATGGGGGCTTGTGGTGTTTTGGTTGAAGGAAAATCATCATCGAAAGTGACCCACTGCTGGGCTGGTTTCCCTCCCGGGGGAGGTGGCTGGCGACGAGGCGCGAGGGCAGGTGGAATGGACGAGGGCGGGGCCAGAGGCAAGGCGGGGGTGGGGGCAGGAGATGGGTCAGGGATGAAGGGGAGCAGAGGAGCAGGTGTATGACTGAGAGCGGGTGATGGTCCGAACAGGGACATGGTCCTTTGCAACTGGGAGGCGGGCGCAGCGGCGGAGGCTGCTGTCGGAGCAGAGGTGGGGATGAGCGGCTGAGTAAGAGCAGACATAGTCCTCTGAAGGTTTAACGTTGGGGCCGGATGCTGGACGCTGAAGTCCGGTGTGAGCGAGCGCTGCTGCTGCGCCAGTGGGCCGGTGAATGGATTGGTGCTGCTGGGTCGGGCAGGGAGCGGGTCGGTCGGGAAGGGCCCGGGGGAGGCACGCAGCGTCTCCTGCGAGCGACTGCGGGACGGGACCGGGGGAGGCGGGAGCAGGGAGGAGGCGAACGGTGATGGGGTGGAGAGCGAGGAGGACGAGGACGAATCAAGCGCCTGCAGATCTGAGAGAGCGGAGGACTGGAGGGAGAACGATGAAGGGAGAGTGCTGGAGGACAACGCAGGAACAGAGGGGGGTTTACGCAGAGAGGAGCCTCTGGTCAGGGACTGGGTGGTGTGCCAGGGAGAGGAGGAGGAGGAGGAGAGGAGGTCAGATGCAAGTGTGTCGAAAGGGTCAGGCTTCCATTGTGCTTCTCTTTGGATTCCATTCAGTCCATTGGTCTAAAGGAGGAACAGAACAAGGAAAATGCCATTCAGCTGTCACAACAAGCGCTGTGTGAAAATATGAACCATGAGCTAATATTATGAGTGTTTTACTAACTAATGGAGCATAAGCTTTTGAATTAAAGATACCCCTTGGAGCTTTCTTGTAAACAATTATAGATATTCATTCAGTTTTTCTTACTTTGACCAAGTGTGTGCATCCTTTACAAACCTATTGACTGCATTTTTGACTATTTTGAAAGTTGCTATATTTCTTAGTGAATTACAACCACTAACTGCCATCAGTGGAATTAGTAGATAGATAGATAGATAGATAACACAGAATAGTGAGATACCGAGCTGATACAACAAGCAACAGTATAAGATGATTTATGGACGTTCGTACATCCTAGGTATTTCATATGTTTCATGGTGCATGCCATGACAGAACACACCCACAACACACACGCACACAAGGGGCCCGCTCATCAGAACACTGATCCATTAACGCCTCTTGTGGTCAAAAACTCCACAGGGTACCTTTAATCAGGCCAACTTTAAACATTTACAAACATATATTGTGTTTTATTACACTGACTACTGCTGACAACTTATGTGTGTATATCACAGTCGTCACACAATCACCAACTCTATAACAAATACATGAAGTAATACAAATTAGACAAAATGTCAAATCAAATTATGAGGTCATTGCATATGTGCTCACTCCCAGGACTTGATCCACGGTGAGCAGATATGAAAGGACTAGTGAGGGGAAAATGGCCAACAACAAACATCACATTTTCATCCGTTTTTCGTGTCATTTATGATTTGATATGTTGACCGACAAAAAAAAGAAAATAATTCTCCATTTTGTGAGCCTAGCACAAAACAATGCATGACCTTGCAGTGGACTAAAGGTTAAAAACAACTTAGGAGGAGATGTAAAAGGAAGGAATATCAATTTCAAAATGAGACAGGAGGAGGTTACTGGGTGTAATGTATGAGAGGTAACAACATCAGAGCAGAGGACTGTTGTGCTATGGAGGATGAGACAAAGAGGTGGTTTAACATCAAGTACCTGTCACCCTGAGGGCTTCTCCAGCTTGTGAGAGAGAGACAAATGTATCAGAGAGACAAAAGCAGGAAGAATGACACAGACAACTAAACTCATCTGATGTGAAACAAAGGAGCAGAAAGAAGCTATCTACTTATTGTCGCAGTTTCCACCTCCTGCAATTATCATAATTTAGCAGTCTAACAGGCAGAATTTGAGCAACAATCTTCAGTACATGATTAAACTACAAGCAAGCAGCAACATCTCAGTGTAGATAATTATGGTGGTGTTCTGCACAGTTGCTGAAATTCCAATAATCTAATGAAAAGGAAGTTGGCACCAACCTGCGCAGCTGGGGCTGTCTCAGCCTTGGCAGCTTCAGGTGGCAGAGCGTGAGAGGAGCGGGAACGTGGTGGGGGTTTAGGAGAGGCTAGACCCTGTGGAGGCCCAGCAAGAGGAGCAGCGGCAGCGGCAGGAGGGTACCCTGCTTTAGGAGCTGCAGCCTGCTGCGGCTGGAGTGGAGCTGGAAGTGTGGGCTGCATCGGTGGTGGGAGTTGGGACTGAACTGAAGGGGCAGCTTGTTGGGGTTGCATGGGTGCCTGCATGGGTGATGGAACCTGGGGTCTCGCTGCAGCAAGCTCTGTAGGAGGTGGTCCTGAGAGAGGGGGACCTGAGGGAGGAAACAGAACAGAGTTACATTTTAATTACTGGATCATATTAATAAGATCCTAGTGTCAATAATTGAGTATATTGTCCTCTGAAAACACACGTCCTTACCCAGAGGCAAGTCAGTCGGTTTAGCCAGTGCACTGGGCACAGGTCTTGGGGCTCCGGGGTGGGTGTCTGGGATGGGCCGAGGGGCCCCAGGATGCACCTCTGGGATGGGTCTGGGTGCTCCAGGGTGAGACGGATGTGGTGGGCGAGACTGAGGGGGCATACTGATTACCCCAGCTCGAGGAGGGATATTCTGGACGATGAAGAGGGAATGAGGAATAGGGAGGAGTTAACAACTTGTTTAAACATCAGTGAAAGAAATAGGAATAATCAGGGCTGTAAACTCACTGGTCTGGGAGCACCTCCAGCCTGTCCTCGACCTGAAAGAGTTAAAACAGACAAACCAACTACATTAGCAACAAAAATATGTCTCCATATTCTATATTTATCATGTGTCCCCTAAGGAGAGATGTAAGGAATACACCAGGCACACCCCAACCTATGACAGTCCAAATTCTCTATGGCTAACTCCATTATTAATGATGACTCAGTTATTCCTTATTAGCTGCAGGAGGTCTGGAGGAGAGACAGGCCTTGTTCTGCAAGCCAACTGCTTACTACGCAGCTTGCAAACATACACCTCTTCTGTCACTATTCTCATGGTGAACCCCTCCTCAGAGCCTGCGAACATGTTCCCACGCGACTTAGATGTCGGCTTCTGTTTAATACTTCACTATAAAGTCACCAAACGTAAGTCAACCCTGCTAACCACACACACCCCTACTGTGACAGAGGGATTCAGCTAATCATGCACGCACACACACACACACACACACCCCATACAAATGGGTCAGGTGAAGGCAGGCCAAGTCACCGATAGGCTAAGCAACCAAACTCTATCCTCTACCCTGGGACAGGCTTAATTTGTGTCAGGGCATAAACACATAACACAGGATTATAGTAGACAGCGGGGTAATCTCGGCCCCGTATCGCTCCCAGGAAGTACAAGCAAACGCCGCACAAAGATGGGCTTTCGTGGGAAAAATACAAGCCTACATAACGGAGGAACAATCCTTTGCCTTCACTGATTACATTAATGCTAAGTGAGGCTACGTCATGCTTTGTGACACTCACCTGCAGCAGCATCGGGTCGAGGAAGAGCGGGGCTTTTAGGTCCTTTGCAGCACAAAGGAAACCAAACCACATTACTGTTACAAAAAGTGGTCACACGGAGCAAGTGTTCCAAATGACAACACTTTATAAGAAGCACTAGCTTATGGTGGGAATAATGCAGCAGAGCAGTGAAGCCTGAGATGCTGTGAGTCTGAATATCTACCTGCTAGAGGTGGATTTTCACACTAATCACAGTGGATTAGTGTAGCCAACTGGCATAAAAACATTTTAAGTCTAGACCAACTCACTTTATCTCCCCACTTATGAAAAGACTATAATCACCTGATCAATACACTTTTAGTCCGTAATGAAAGAGTGCACACTTGTGGTGTCCCATTCCTCACTATGTAACCATTTGAGTCAGACAGTCTTCTGCAATATGTGTAACCTCATTCCTCCTGATGATAATGTCAGTGACTGATTCAAGGGAGTCTTTCTTGTGATATTACTTTTAGACTCCAATCATGCCCCCGCACTAATTTATAGGGATGTATTTATAACCAGCACAGAGTATGAAATGCAGAAGAAGAAATTCTGCCTTTGGGGCAGAAAAGTCAGCAATTGTGAGAGTGTTTGGTCCCACGAGCTCTTAAACCTCCTTGGTTTTTGCATTCCCCTACTTATTTTGCATTTAAATAAGCAGGCTACCAAACACATCTCTCTCATGTACACACACACACGACTAAGATGGCCGAGCAGAATTGGTCAAAAGTGATGCATCAATGTCAAAAAAGCATCAATAACATTGATGACTAGGTGTAATACTACAGGGATCGGATGACATTTAAGGACACATCGCCTGGCCAGTTACCTTCACTGCCTCTCCTACCGAGCATTGGGCTGGGAACACAGTCTTAAAGTGAAAGAGGGGAAACAGTATTTTCAAAATAAAGTACACCAAAAACACACAAAAATTTTAGCTGCAGTGCTGGTGGCACAATATGAAAAACTAGAATTACTGCCTTGTGTTTGTATGCCTCTGTCAAAGTTGCAGTTTACATCCATGTCTTTTCAAATAATACACGTAATATGTAGACTGAAGGAATCAAATAAAAAGGTATTATTAGTGTTGTTGTTTTTTTTTTTAAAGCAAAATAAAAGTTATTACTATATTGACATGCATGATTCCAGTGAATAATTATGAGTGAGAAACATGCTGTCTTAACTTAGAGACTATTTTTTTACAGAGGAGTTACAGAAGACTGATAGATTGTGCAACAACAATCAACTGAAGCTCAATATCAGCAAAACCAATGAGCTTAGTGGACTACAATGCTTCAAATATGGATGCTGCTGCTAAGAAGCTATACATTCTAAAACGTGAATGCTTTACACACATACATCTTCAACCTTGCAGCACAGAACATCTATAGAATCACTACAGTTTCAAGGTAGGCACTAGGGGAATAAGAAAAGGTGGATTTTGTTCTGTCATAACGTATCAATTCTCAAAAACACTAGAGAATAGAGTTTTGTGTTTAAACACCTATCTAACAACAAGCTACCAAACACATCTCTCTCAAGTACACATACAAGACTAAGATGGCTCATACTGATGCTTAATTGGTCAACAATGATCCATCAGTGTCAAAAAAGCATCAGTAACATCAATGACTGGGTGCAAGACTACAGGGATCAGATGACATATAAAGACACGCTGCCTGATTAGTTACCTTCACTGCCTCTCCTATAAAGCAGTGGGCTGCCACAGTCTTAAAGTCAAAGAGGGGAAACATATTTTCAAAATAAAGTACACCAGGGAACATCAAAACATCAGATTAAAAATGAAAGGTTTTAGCTGCAGTGTTTATGGCACAATAAAAAAAAATAAAAAAAAACTGGACTACTACTCGGACATTAAATACACTCAAATAAGGTCAACAATGTCTAGGACACTTTAACAGTGCTCACAGATATACCACAGAAGAGGGATAGTCCTAAATATTATTGAAAGGCAAGCCACATTTTCTGTATAGGAATTTACATCCACCAAAATCACATATTATGGGGAGGGATTACACAATGCACAAGAAGCACTTCATTTTGAACTTCACCTAAGTGGTCCTACACCACCTCTCAAGACAAAAACCTCAAGAACACGTACCTAATCTTAGAGTTGTTCCTCTAAAATGGCAGATTACTGTGAGACCAATTTGGGTGGATAGTTTTGGCAAGATCCCATGTTTTAACATTTTAAGTTTAAAAGCTAAAGCTAAACCCAAGCCCGGTGACAATGTCACAGTCCTAAGCAAATGCCTGTTGGGTTGAATGTTCCTCAATGAGCTAGATCAAATTTGTGAGCTGACTGTGCAGTGCTGAGTCAAAAGGAAGAGCCAAGACATGGTCTGATTTACAGCCGTAAAACTGTCAGTAGTCATATATGAAGCCAGGTTTTACATGCTCAGGTGTGCCTCTATAAATGGTTAGCTATATGTTTCACTGAATTTTTACTCGATCAGCACTAATGCAATGTGCTTCTCTGTGTGTAGCGTCTGATGGAAAACAGCAGCCGCTAGTTTAAATGCTGCAGCAATGTAAGCACATAAACATAGCAATCACTTTACCTGCAGAGTCCCTTCTAACTGGCAGAGGGCTCATGCCTCCTTCAGGAATGAGGCGAAGAAGTGGGATAAAGGTGAAAATGTTAACATCTGCCTAAAGTCTCTCACACTGTACCATGCTGAAAAACCAAATCTCCACACTTCCAGTGGACTAAGGATGCAGGCTATATTTCTGTGATTCAAGCTTTAATCAACTGTATACAAGAAGGTTAAGTATGATACTTTACCTGAAGGTGGTGGTGGGCGTTGAGGGGGTGCTGGTCTGGGTGGGGGGGCGTTGGGACGAGGGGGAGGTTGGCGCTTGGGCTCCATGCTTTGAGATGTGGGGGCACCAGGCTGGAAGTCGACAGGAGGCCCTGGAAGGAAAAATAAATAAATAGAAGAGGTGCAAATGTATACATGAAAAGAGAGTGATTTAAACTTTTTGCCTTTCAAACTTGTTTCCAAACAATTGTGACTACCCTACATTTATTTGGAAAAAAACATTACCCATACCTTAAAAAGTAAAAAAAAAAAAAATGTTTTTTTTCTTTCAAATCACACTGGTCAAACACTTATCAAGGCATGTGCCCCATTTCTGAAAATCAAACCGACAAACTCTGTGATTCAGTGTTTCAGACCATTTAGACCAAAGAAAATATTAAGCAAACACTGCACACATTTTCATACTGCATTAGAAAACATGTTTCAAAAGGAAACAAGTAGTTTACTATAAGACACACCACAAGCCTCCTAACACATCTAATTCTAACATAGATTAATTCAACACAGTCCTTTTTACCTGGAAATTCTGTCCCCAATGATGATGGACTTAAATCTGCTTCAATGTATTACAAACAGAACAAAATTACAGTTTATATTCCAGCAGGCAGGGACTGGATTCTGAGCAGATGATTGGATTGTACCTTCAGCAACCTGATTCCCCTGTGTGTGTCATGCTACATTTACCTTGTGATGGTCGGGAGGGTTGTGAACGACTAGGCCTGCTGGGGGCTGCAGGTTCTCCGTGGGTGGGGGAGTGACAGGGGCTACTGCGGGGTGAGGGGAGAGGGGAGGATCCGGGGCCGGAGCCTGCGCCAGGCTGCAGGTGCTGGGGAAGGATCTCCTCCACCTCATCGTCCACATCACCTGGTACAGAAGACATAAACACATACATAAATTGGCATTCATATTATTGAGGATAAGGATCGGGATTGCTTGGCTGTCACTCCGCACCTTCCATATCATAATCATCGTCGCCCATGTCCGTGTCCTCAGCAAGCAGGGTGGAGCTGGCCGAGGTGGGGATGCTTCCACAGATCCTCTCTACGCTCATCTCCTCCTCCAAACTCTTGATCCAGCCTGGACTCTTCAGACGGATGTCAATCATCTTGCCAAGGACCTACAATGTACCCAAGAGACATTGGTTGCCAGGTACACAACTGATGAAAGAGTCATACAGAAACGCTATTTCTGTTGTGTTTGAGACACACAAATGTAGCACAGGGGTGATTCAAATTGAGTTTCAACAACAAAGATGGATACACATTTTGTATTTTTAATGTTTAGACTCGGAGGAGCATTTTTACAGCTTAAAAGTAATTAATACAATCAGTGACGACTTACAGTGGAAGCGCTGAGAGACAGAGCAGCAAGAGCAGAGTACCCTTCCAGGAAGGTCACCCACATCTTCTCCTCAACAAACCTGCATAAACAAGTACACCGTCGATGCAGTCCAGCTGTCTGAAAGTGATGCATGTCAGTCTGTGTAGGGGATGTGAGGCTCACCTGATGAGGATGACCTCTCCAAACTGAGTAAACTTGTCCAGCAGCTCGTCTATGAGTGCATCGTCAAAGTAGTCTTCAGGGCCGGAGGAGCAGAGTGACACCAGGATGGTGCCATCTGGAGGCCCCTGAAGGGCAATGACATCTTTGTAGACCTGGTGCCGAGCCTCAGGGTCGACCTCCAGAATGTCCACATCCATTATCGCTACCACAGGCCTAGGAGGAGGATAGGAGACATTGAGGCTGGGGATGTTTGATTCAAGAGAAATGCCATATATTTGTTTGCACCATTGTAACAGTATATTTCAGAGTCTATGTTATCAGTAGGTATATCACGAGACCGATACTTAGGTACCAAGTTGATACCAAAATTCTGAAAACTAGTGCAGCTGTACAGACAAAACTTTTGTGCACAGTGCTCTGTCATCAACTCTGTTTTAAGTGTCTCTTTCGCTGTGCTATGTGTGTGTGCAGGTGAGTTTAGCCCCGCCTGCAACGAAACACCCCGCAGGCCGGGCTGAACTCCTGGTCCGGCGATGAGACAGAGTGGTGGAGAGCTGTAGGCTGTACTCTTATTTGCGAACAAAAAGCAAATAGGAGTAATTTATTAATGTAATCCGTGCAAAAGATGTACAGACGAGGAAAATACACACTGCAGGGCACTTAGGAGAGAGAAACTCCTCCTAGACAGCGATAAGACAAGATTGACAAGATCGACAAGATCGACAAGATCAACAAGATCAACAAGATCGACAAGATTAGAGAGAGTTGACTACATTTCTGGTATCAGGACCATGCCTAGTTATCAGTCGGTTCCGCTTAAATTATCGTCATATACTTCAGTGGGGATAAACATGTCATTTATTCACTCCAATCTTACAGATATATCTTGTTACTTACCTGTGGTCCGAGGTCTTAAGCTCAGCCCTGCCATAGTACTTCAAAATCCCAGGGCTCCAGGGGTTCTCTGGATCTTCCTCATTCTCCCCAGATGTAGACGTTGCCCCGACTACATTCATCTCCTCAGCTGCAAAGCATGCACAAATGCATATCATTGCAAAGGCAGACAAACAGATAAAGCATTCTTTCAGTTATTCTGTCATATGCAAGTACAGAACAGAAGAAGAAGAAGCAAGGCAGGATAGCAAGATAGACCTACAAACATATTTTTTGCCAGTGTTGTAATGTTGTACTGAGATAGAAAGGAAGGAAATCATTTGGGTGTGGTAAGACTTATCTGCAGTGGCTCTGCATCTTACCTGTTTTGTCAAAGTTCCACTTCCTCCTCTTCCAGAGTATGCGGTCAGTCCAAGCTGGTGTGCGGCATTTCTCACTGGTGTCATAATCTTCAGAGAAGAGGTCATATTTATAGGTGGGGGCAAAATCTAACTTCCCCTCAATGAAACCTCGGAAAACCTGTTGAAGATATTTCTAGATTAGTAAGGGCTATAAAATCTGTTGAGAGGAAGTGAAAGTCATTAGTGCTGTAGACATGCACGTGTGCTGTACATCATACCAAACCAGCATTCTTCTGGTCCAACAACTGGTCCCCAGCTGTCAAGGCATCCCAGTTCTGCTGTCTGATAAGGTCTTTTACTTCCTCGTTGGGCAGGCTGATTCGATAGTTAAAGTCTCCACACCAGAAAACGTAGTCATGCGAGTATAGCAGACGACCCTGGCGAGGAGAAGATGGATGTGGTTATGCTTAAGTTACGCAAAAATGTGTTTTAAAATTCATTTGTTAATGTAATGGTTATTACCATGGGGAAGGTGAGTCTGCGTGTGATCTCATTGTAGTCATCGTTCCTCTCTTTTACTTGTGACTGGCCAGCAGCAAAGTGGGAGCAGACGAAGCAGATGCTGGTGGTATGGAACAGCAGGCGGATGGCCACACCACCTTTATTGCCTGTAGCCCCGCCCATTCCAGTTTTTACAGTATCGACGGCAACATCCCTGGAAAGCATATTGAATGGCAATCTGTTACCATACCTATAATTTATAGTGCAATTCGATAAGTGTCTAATGAGAATGTTTACATTTTTTACCTGATGAAGGGCGCATGCTGGGGGCGGATGAAAACAAACAGACACACCCCCACCAGCTGCTCTGAAGCAAGCAGCACGTACTTGTGGTCTCGTGATATGTTTTTTTGGAGCTCGGCTGCCCAAAGTTTCTGGTTAGTGGTGCTGAGACGAGAACGGAAAGATGCGTCAGTGCAGAAAAAGGAAAAGAAAAAAACAAACAAACAAAAAACACCCAGACGAGCCAAAAACAAAGTGAGTCAGAGGGAATATTAACATTTTATTAATGTCAAGAGCCAATTCAGGACTTTGTGGATGAAAATGACAATTTAGTTGTCTCAGGCTTAGAATCTTGCACACCTACCTGGCACTGACAATGTTGCCAGCATTCAGTTCAACCATTTCCTCAAAACCGATGGCAAAGATATCTATAGGGTTGGCTTTGCTGTCTGCAAAGAGAAATATTACACAATGTTCAACACAAGTATCTGGCCAAATGATGACTACAATGACAGTAATTAGTAGAATGTTCTGCTAACCTATAAACAAACTAGCCAATATTATGACAGTAATACCAAGTTATAGGATATCAAATGTTTTTTATTTTAAATCTTTCTTATGATTCCTCTTGTTTACAAGTAAAAGCATTCAATACCCAAATGCTCAGTATGAACAATGTCAGCTGTGGTTGACTATTTAGCTAACTTTTTTTCTGTCCACATTTTCTAAGTCACCCTTCAAACTATCAACACATTAAATTATTAAAAAAACAGTTTGACATTTTAGAAAATATGCTTTCTTGATTAAGAAGTGAACATGGATACCACTCTCATACAGTTATATCTATATCAGTGACTTCTAAAGTCCCTTTACTGTGAGGCAACCAGAGAGTCACTAAAGTTCCAGCACATAACATAACATATAACTTACTTTAACCTACAACAACGGGTTGTTTTTAAACTTTTTTTCCCCCTTTATGTATTAAATAAACTGTGTTAAAGAGTGAGTTATTGAGGTGTTGACAAGTAGATTTTGGTACCTTCAAGCCAGACTACCTGTTTCCAGTTTAAGTTAATCGGCTGCTGGCTGTAGCTTCATATTAAGCATACAGACATGAGAGTGATCTTTTTCAGAAAGAAAGTGAATAAGCATATTTACCAAAACATTAAACTACTCCTTTAACCTAACAAATTAGAGCAGCCCTCAGAAAGATCATTTACAGAGATGACATCTACCACCCTTGAGTGCAGATAAATAAACACAACATACCCTGGAACTCAGGATGCCCTGCCTTCTTTGGAGCATCCAACAACCAATCATTGAGCGTCTGGTTGCGGAACGCAATGCTGCGAAACTGTTTACCCCCATTGACATTCCAGGTGCCGACACACACCCGGATCTGCTTGGGCCTCGTGTATTTATGGAAGTTTTGACACATTCCCAGCAATACTCTTGGGGAGGCTGCAGGGGGGAGGAGAGAAGGATTAGAGTGTAAAATGGTTGAATGTGCGTCTGCAGGAAGGGTGGCATACAGGGAAACGAAACAAAAATAGGAAAACGCCAATCAAAACCAACAAAACCAATAGGACATCCAAATACAACAGAGGAAGGCTGAAACAATGTTCTTAAACATGAGGCATGGGAGATAGGATAAAAACCGGACTTTTTCTCAAATACAAATAACATTCAAATAATCAGCATTGGTAGTGGTTGATTTCTGTCTGTAAAGGTCCACTCAAAGCGATGTCGAATTTAATTTTGAAAATCGGCAACCACTTTCTTTTAGTCACTATTGCAAAATCCTACTGATATGCAAGAGACAGACGGTTAAACCACAACCAACATTAGATTATAAATGAATGAACAATAATGAGTAGCAAACACAAATGATAGGACAACTATGTGATGGGATGAAAAGATCCATCCAACTGGGGGCAGTCTGTCAGTTACTATACCTGATTGTAAGACGGGCTCAGTGACTAAGATTGTGTGCAAGAGCAGGAGGGAGAGAAGGGAGAGAAGGGCGGGTTAACCAGTGCTTTAACAGATAATGCTAGCAGAGCAGTTGGTCAGTATTAATCTAACTGGGACAGAGAGCTGACATATGGAGATTACCCTGCCTACTTGACACAGAGCAGACAAACCCTTCTATTGTGCAGAGTAGCTTCTGGCTAACAGGGCAACAATGGATACAGGTCAAAACTCGTCAAAATATTCAAACAATCCCCCCCTGGTGGAGCAGAAATGATATTCTTAAATATAGTAATAATAAAAATAATGGAAGTTGCAACATATAATATGGAGCAAAGACAGTATTTGTTACACTTTTTATGAGTACATTTTAGGCAAGACGTGATCTGTTGACTCAATAAAATAATACGTCATATTAGAGTAAAGGATTACCGTAAAGACTGGAAGTGGTGAGCAAGGCCCGAGCTTTGTCAGCCAAATCACTGTTAAGCGTGGAGCCCAGCCTCAGGATGTCTATAGCCTCCTGCTTAGAACTGTCAAAGAAGTTGTTCTGGATGGTCCTTGTCACAGAACGTGCTCCATCTTTAAGCTTCCCCGCCTACAATCACACACACAGAAATAAAAACAATTAGATTTAACCACTTTAATTATTAGCTATACTCTCACTTGGTGTAAAAACATGTCTGTACTTCCCACTCCAACCATGGAAGAGAAGAAAAGTAGAAACACATCAGAGAGATCCAAGTAAGGCAGATTTTTTTTTTTTTTTTTTAAACTGACCAGGAAGGATCACAACTGCTTCACAAGGTGCAACAAATTTCACTGATTGATGTGCGACTGATTTAATGCCACATGGCGATCATTTTAATCGATTCCTCCAGGTATATCCAATCAAAAGAGCAGACGTTGCCAGATCATTTAGACTATGATCGGAAACTGTAAGACGGTCATAAGAAAATGATCATTCAACAAGCCAGTACAATGGGTACTTTGTCTTTGTTTTCTTTTTAAATGAATTTCTGTAGATCAGAGATCTCCGTGGATCTTTCTAGAGGTAGCCAGGTGAGGACGGTATGCATCACCAAGATACCTCAAGGGGAATAAAATCAAGTTTTATTTAAGGAGGTACCACCTCTTCCATCCTCATCATCACCATTTAACCCACAGACACTGAAATCAATAATCCACCAGAAGTAGACCCACAGCTCAAAAACGACATCAACTGGCTTTTAACTTACCACAAAGGTAGAGAGGTCCAGATGAGAGCAGTAAGAGATAGCACACAAGAGTTAAGAAACAGAAGCACACAGCTCTACACACAGAGAGGACAGACTACTCATGCAGAATTCTGTCACTGTATGCACGAAAAGCCATTCTAATGTTTTTAATGTGCCATTTATAGTTGAATATCCAGTCCAAAGTAGATACATACAGTACAGGGTTTCTGCATTTATTGTACAGTGGTAGAACTTGTGCCATTAGTGTTTCCTCTTCTATTATTTCACATAACAGACTGCTGTTAGCATACTCTATCTGAGCTAAACTGGTCACAAGTAAGGAGAGTGTTTATCAGGATCAGGTCTATTCAAGAGTTGCCAATTAAATGTCCACCATCTGCAAAGATCTAATACGACACAGATACGGCACATTCAGTACCAAAGTTTGCTGAATTTGCTTCAATAAAATGCTGTTATTCACTATTTCATGTCCTCAGCTAGAATAAAAAAATTGGATGGCATTGTTAGGGGCTGAGCTATACCATAAGTAACCCTTAGGACAGTATCAGATGCAGATACACTTTTGCCTCAATGGTTAAACAGTTAAACAGAACTTGTGTATTTGTGTGTGTTTAGTGTGTCCATATTGTGTACCTTGGCCTTGCCATCCAGGGCACCGGTGCCCGCGTAGATCTTACTGACGGAGTCTCCATTGGCAGACCACATAGTCCTAAAAACCTCCTGGAACCTGGCCACCAGCTGGGGTTTCTCTGTCAGACCCATTTCCTCCAGCTGCTTTGGCAGCATCTGGTATGGTGAGGAATAGGGGGGGTTAGATTAAAAGCATCATCACTTAAAAATAAAGGACAGCAGAAATGCAATTGCAATTTTATAACAAAAAAAATAAAACACTGTCAGACCTCAAGGGCAAAAAAGGCCTGGACACTGTTGGTTCTATCCAGACAGTCCAGGCAGTTGGTCCTAATGGTCCCACCCTGAGTCCTAAAACGCATGTTATAATGTTTAGAGGCAATACCAAAAATAAAATTCAACACTACTTTATACAGGTTTGTATTGGTTCCTCACCTTGCGATTCCCGTCTCTCCCGAGTAGTAGAAGAACCCACACTCTTCTATGAACTTGTTGAGGTAGGGTTTGAGGACACTGTGGAGTTTGTCTGCCTTGCCTCCTTTCACATTTTGATGGTAGTCGAAGTTCACCATTTTCACTGCTGTTGCATGCTCTGATGCCTTCAGGTGACTCTGAGGAGTGAGAGAGAGAGAGAATGAGTGAGTGTGAGTGTGAGTGAGTGACTGAGTGAGTGAGTGAGTGAGTGAGTGAGAGTGAGTGAGTGAGAGGACTTATTACCAAAAATTCAAACTAAATGCAAAAATGCTACGCACGCAAGGTGTGTCGCTCGTACCTGACCTGGACTCTAAGGAAATCTTTCATTGTAATCATGCAAGTCAGGTTTTATAAACTAGGGCTCAGTCGATAGCTGGCAATGCTATTGACTTTGCTTCTTCTTTAGAAATGACTGACACTCACTATGCTACCTAGCACGCACTAGATGTCAACAACAACAAAAAATGATAAAAAATAATAAGCTGTGTGGTCCAGCTTATTATTTTTTATCATTTTTTGTGTTATTGCACTCGACTCCTCACCTGAAGAGCCAACATTTCCAGCTATGGCCTACTCGGATATTTATACCTTGACCTGACAAGATTTCAACATACAGTAATTGGGATAAGAAAGAATTCCTGTGTGGGTTTACACAACAAGGCAGCATCTGTTGTGATACACATCATTTGCCAGTGTTTATTGGTCAAAGTCTGTGTTGCTAGGAGCACCAGATAAACCTCTTGCAGAACAAATCACTGAGTGGACAGAGAATGGTTCCTCTCACCTGAAATGCTTTGCTGAGCATGTGTTCCCCTTCCTTACTCCCAAGCAGGTTGATGATCACCTGTTTACCATACAACCTCCGCAGTGCAGTGAAGTGCCTGGACAACACACAGACATATATATATATATATATATAATAAGCCTTGTTAAGGTCTAAAATAACGTCACAGGACTAATGGTGTACAAATATCAGCATTTAATATACCTTCGTGCAACACCTTCATGCTCTTTACTAATGCTTAAGCTTGATGAATACACACAAGATTCACCAATCAGCAGCATATAATACACTATACAATGTTTATCACCCAGGACTATAAAACTACTGAACTACTGATTTTTTTTAACTGTTGCACACATATGGTCAAGACATGCAAATTATTTTGGTTTAATATATTGTAGATGGATGAAATGGCAGCACCATCCAGGGGAGAGAAAAGCAGACATAGACTACACTCTGCTACCGTTACCGTGTTTATAAAAAGATGTTATTGTCGACCTTATACTATCTTAGGAATTTCAACAGAGACATTCACTGCTGAAAACTAACTAGATATTACACAGGATGAGTCACAAGTCCTGATCTGGGCAGATATTGAGAAAGACTAGCTGCACTGCCAACTACTTAAGGTGAAAAAATGACTAAATTAGTTCCAAAATACAAATGGTGTACCATCTGTCATCCTTCTCTTGGCATTCTCAAGATGCCAATAAGCAAAGGAAAAACTTGACAATAATACTGAGCTCAGCCCATCTGAGTCCATCCTCTAAAGTCCAAGATGTTGATCTTTAAGAAATTAAAGATCCACTGGTGGTCTTGATAGCTTTCTAGCAACATGTTGCCTTGAACTGGTGAACGGCATCACTGCTCTGAGACTAATCTTCCCCCTAGAGAGCCTGGGTTTCGTCCCTGTGGTAATCCATCTAACTGAACCTTCCTTAAGTAAACTAGCAACTTTAAAATATGCTGCTCTGTTGCTGACCCTGCACATGTAATGTGTCTGTAGACAGGGGAAACAAAGGACAAAGAAAATGTCCATAAAAGGTGCAAAATTAGGATTTAAATGAATTGGTTTTAGGAATTTAATGTTTAAGACATAATGAGGGTTAGGGTTATCATCACAGACTTCATGTTTATGATGCCAAAAAAATTGTATATTGTATATAAATCAATCTTTCGGTATCAGTTTTGTGAGCATTTACAGTTAAAATTATATTGCGATACTTGCAAATATTGAGCTACTTTCTAAAAACAAAGGAAACAAGACAAATGCGACTGGAATTAGATAAAAATGTGGATGATTCTTAGAAGGCTCACATTCGTCGCTGCCCACCTTGCCTCCACAATTTACTGCCAGTAAAGAAAAAATGAGTAATCAAAGACCCACTCCATAGCGGCAGCATAGCTATTTTTTGCAACTTTCAGAGTAGAATTTGGAAGGATACAACTACTGAGAAGACACGATTGGCAGAAAAAGATAGAATAGTCTCTGGATTTGAATGCCATGCATAAGTGAAGACTTTAAATACTATTTATTGTTTAATGCTGAGATATAAAAAGCTTTAATACACATATGCACAATTTTAATTGCATGTGCTGTAAAACAATTTAACTTCCAGAAGAGATGTGCAAAAAGTCAAGAAAGTACTTTTGCAAAGAAACTGTCTGCAAATAATATAAAATAAGGTTATTAACGTTGACAGCTAATCAAAGGCTACTAATGTACCCTCTCTGTTCCCTGCAATAAACCGGCCTCTGAGGACACACTTCAATTAACATCTCCCCCTTCAAGAGTCTGGAGAGCTTTCCTCTACTGTGGCTTGGGCAGTAACTGCAGGAGACATAGCATTATGGTGTCTCCTCTGTTAATCTGTTGGAGGCCAGATAAAGCTGCTAAAAACTGCTGCAGACACACGTGTATACACTAAACACTATATAAAACATTTTAATTACCTTTCGAATGCTGGTGCATTTGCCTCAAATCCCCTTGAGAGTTTGACACGATGAGAGCCAACCTACATGCAGAGACAGCGAGAAAAAGACAAAAAAGACACAAGTCACAGTGTCCCTTTTACTTAATATCAAATCCTTTAAAAGGAAGGTTGCACGAACACACATGATGCAGATGTCCAGAAAATTTTGGGAGTGAAGAATGAAGTTCGGATATATATTTTGGATAACATTGAACGGTGGAAAAAAGACCTTTAAAGTGGCAAAAAAAATGGCATAGGACAATGGTAACACAGGGGAAGCATAGGGAGATTTGCTCATACAGAGACAAAGACACTAAGCAGCAGAGGAATCTTGTTGCCTGTCATTCATCCAACACCTTTATTAGGAACTTTTAATCAAAATGTTTCTTGCTTGCTTTTGGTCTCACCAATTCTCCTTCATTCTCTCTTATTTTGAGAACACACTGGCACCAAAGAGCCTTACAGAGGAGGAAAGGCAGGCATGACCACACATGACCACACCTTAACAGGACGCTCGCACGGTGGCTCTGTCGGAAATCTACTCACCCTGCACCGCAGGTCCTTACTTGTTGTTCCCTACTCATATGTGCCTTTACGCAACATTCCCTACTTTTATTCATCTTCTCTTGCTTTTCAAACTCTTTCACTGTCTTTAATAGCTTCTCATTAACTGAAAAGAAAAAAGAATCTAAGGTCATCATCCCTTCTGCACTGTTCAGTTTCTGCCTCTTCTTCCTTTTACTGGTCACTCAATTCAGGTCACAAGCAGCATACACACATCCTAAGTCTAAACCAGCCAATCATCATTCCCACTGCAGTGTCTCTGTGAACATTATTGGGATCTCCTGAGTGCACTTTAACTTTGACTCTGTGTTCATACAATTCTAGTTTCAAATTTTCTTTGCACCACCTGCTAATCTTTTCCTTTGCTTTGTATTCATCTGCGTCTATTTGGACTAGGCCTGTGTTTGGCAGGGCGAGACATTTTGCTCAATGCTGCTGCCATTTTGTCATTCCTTCCTCTCGCTACTGTTGTTAAGGTCTCTCCTATGCATATTTAATAACTTCCTCAGATGGCATCTGAAAAGGACTCAGGTTACAGCTGTACACCTCAGACCGAAACCTCTTCACATTTTACTCTACCTCAACAGATAACACTTGGAGTGTAATTGCAAATCACCCTTTTAACTCACGTCTGACAGTTCTATACTACTAAAATAATCCACAATATATTTAAAAGGTTACATGTTTCATTTTACTTACTAGGTTTGTCTTCAACTGTCAGTTGACTATTAATCATAGAGTTTCCGCAACTAATTCATCAGATGTTTGAATCTGTAATTGATTGAGTCAATATTTGAATCATTTAGAAGGTTTTCTGGAACTTGTGTTCTTATTCAAGTAAGTAAAGCATTTTTGTGAATATAACTGTAATACCACACAGGACCATTTTCTCTTTACTAATTCCACTAAGGACTATTTCCCCCAAACAACCAAGTAACTAAGTAATTAACTAAGATTTTGTCATCAACCAGGATTCTAACAACTAATCAGTTAAGAGGGATCCTGACAAATTTACCGATTTACATCTTACCCAGTAGGGTTTTATGATACTACACTAAAAGTATGATTCAGAGACACAACTATTTCTAATGTAAACAGTAGAAAGATCAGTAACTCTTCTTCTGGACAAAACCGAAACTATCCTTCCTGCTCAGGGAATGAATTACAGGGTAAGGGGAGGAGAAAATAAGCCTATAAAGCAACAATCAGTAGAGGGGACTAAGAGCTAAAACAGTGATTTAAAAGCAGGAGGACTACAGTTTTGTCTGAAAACAACCCCGAGCCCACTACCCTCTGTTTTGACCAAACCATAGACCTTGAATAGGTGACTAATATAGTCTTGGCTTCTCTTGGTTGTCTAAGAAATTTAACAGCTATTTTTTCCCCCCATATTATCAATTAACACCTATCCAGTTGCCTGGGGAATATCTTCTGAATAAGTTAAAGGGAAGTGGCTATGGGATGTTTTCAGACCAGGCTCTCACCTGACCAAAGAAGTCTGGGAGCTGAGGAAAACAGAAAAACGCCCTTTACCAACCACTACATCTATCATTACTCCCTCACGTCTGATCTTATCCACCAGTCTGTGCAATGTAAGGTCAAGGGCAGGAGAATCCCAATAATGTTGTTTATGGTGTGTGCTTAATGGATGAACCTAGCTCCTGCTTTTAAATCTCAAAAATGACAGGTATCTTAGTTTTAACCCCTGGCCTTTGACACTGCACAGAGGAACCCCTATCTGCAGGATGAAAGCGCCAACACCACAAGAGCCAGAACAAAAAATTAAAGGTTATACCAGGTGGGGGTTCTCATCCAGCTGTTTAGGGTGCCGATTCTCATTCAGTTGCAACAAAACACCCTTAATGGACTTTTTCTGAACACAGCGTGGACAAAATGTGTTAAAAAATAGGGTTAAGATATCCATTTCCTATTTTGCAAGAGCTCCACATAGGCTTCACCAGAGTTCAGTGTATGTTAAGTACACTTACACCGTGCAATCGACTGACTGAGCCTTATCTAAAACAGCAGCATTTACAAAATGGTCAGGACTTCTATACAAACATGAGGGCTGTTTTATGATTTTCATATAATGTGGCTGAATATATGAAAACCTCACATTCACAATTCTAGGCTGGCTTCATGGGATTGATTTAGTTTTCATTACCTGGATTCCTGGCTGCTCCCAGAAAAGAGGAATGGACCCACGGATCTGTATGAAGGATGAGACTCTGTCATCCAGGAAAATAACCTGTTCAAAACAAGAGGAAAGTTTGGTTAAGTTTGTTTGCAATGTGACGACGCACATGTGTAAGTAGTCATACAACACTATTAAAACACACTTAAAGGAGGAAGGAAATGTCTTCACAAAACCAGCATGTATCTGTGGCCACTTTGTCAGGACACAAAGAAAATGTAAAGGAGACATCACAATGAAAGGCAGTGTGTCAGATGTAGAAAGGCTAAATTTTTCTGTCGTGTGCTGACGGATTATTTTTGAGGCTCAATTCATTAATCTGCATGACCAAAAGCTGTAAGTGCTACAGGGGCTCCCCAGAACAACCAGAACGCTGCAATATAATAAGGCCTGCAATTACCATTACACATATGAAGCTCCAAATGCTCAATTTCTATTCCGACTTTTCCAGGGAAAAACATTGAATGTCTTCTATGGTACTTTTTAAAGCAGCAAATATTGGTGTAGTTAGTGTCTACTGAATTATATTGGTATGTAATTGTATTAGGTCCAGTTATTCTGTCCAACCTACAGCTTTGCGTTTATTTCCTGAAACGGGAACAATAAAAAGGGAAAATGAAAAGTGAGTCATTTTCCAAAATGGAGAGCTGAAAAGTAACCTTTCATAGTCAGACATAATGTGCTGACTCAGACAAAAGCAAAAAATACTGACTGAACTGACGTTTAGTCAATAAGGAACTTAAAATGACTGCAAAATAACAAGCTTAAGACTTGAACTTGACCAATAAATACATAATAATAATAATA